GATGTGTATAAGAGACAGGCGTAAGCCACCTTCTTAATCAAGTGGATAGATTTACTGTTAATATTAACAAATCTAAAAATGTTGTATTTAAAAAAGAAGGAAGACTCAGAAAAATTGAAAAATGGTATTACAAGAATCATCAATTACAAATTCAAACCTCATACAATTTAGCTTGCATTAGGATCTGTGTGATTATTGCTGTAACTCATTATCCATTAAACTTCCTTTTCTGCATAAAAGAGTACAGTGTTTCTAATTGTTCTTTAATTACGAATGTCTATTAAAATGTCAATTTCTGTTATCTTTTTTTTATTTATCACTGTTAATTTTTCTTTTAACTTCTGTTATATATTATTAGCAAACTTCATTTTTTTTCCTAATTTATTTATTTACAAATCCAAACGTGTTGGCGGCCTGCTGATGCGTCCACTACGAGATACGTAGTTTGGTTTGGTTACTTCTGGATTGGTTTTTGGGTTGTTCTTTTTTTGTTCTGGAGTAGCAAGTTCTGGTGGTATTGGCATTTTTACTGGTGTAGTTCTTGTGTCGTTTGAGGTATGAGGTGCAACGTCTATTTCTGGTTCGTGAGTGTTTCATTTGTTTGCTGCACTGGTTGCTATTCGCAGGTGCAATTTCTATTTCTGCGATAATTTCGTCCATTGTGTTCCACTACATATGATCGTGGTGAGGTGTGGTGCTGAGTGACTGTTCCTGGGAGCCATTGTTTTGATCCTGGTAGAGGGGTCATTCGGACAGGATCTCCTGGTGTAAGAGCTGGAAGATTTCTTCCTGACATATTGTCGTAGTAGTATCTATGTTTGGCTTTATTGCCTGAACCGTTGTGTAATGTCGGTGGTATTATATGACTTTGGCTGGAGAAGTGATTTTGCTGTTGGTATTAGATTACGGGGCCTTCGTCCCATTAAAAATTGGGCAGGTGATAGGTTACAACAGGCAACAATAGGGATTGTGCGGTAGTCTAGTAAGGCTAGGTCTTTGTCTGTACTTTTCTTCCATAGCCTTTTCACCGTCTGCACTGCTCGCTCTACCTCTCCATTAGATTGAGGATAATATGGCGAGGAGGTGTGATGCTGTGTTTCGTAGTCTTTGCAGAATTTGGCGAATAATGCTGATGAGTATTGCAGACCGTTGTCAGTTCTCAGTATTTCTGGTATGCCATGACGAATAAATTGTGCCTTTAGCTTGTCAACTACTGTAGAGCTGTCTGTCATAGGCAAATGATCAACTTCTATGAACTTTGAATAGTAGTCAATGGTGATCATGTAGCCTTGTTGTTCAAACTCATATTAGGCCTAATGGTTTTGCGACATTATTATCGTTATTTATATATAATGAAATCAGAGACGTACACCCGTCTTGCTTTTGGGAATAGCAGACGTTAAAAGAATACATATTGTGTTTTATTGTTTGATATATATGATGTATTCATGCGCTCAAATAAATTATCGAGCAAATCTCGTTTATAATGCATAACATTGTTTGTCTTCTATTATAATACTTAGCATACAAAATCAGATAGTTTTTTGACGCAGTTCTTCTGAAAGGTGAGTTCGATTTGAAAACGTCATTGGATCAGTTGTTATGACGCAAACAACAATAATAATAGAAATTATATGAATCCAATTTCAATCATCAGTTTAATTCGTATTTCTCTTTTACTACGTCTGGATATTTCTCTCAGTGTTCTTGAATTTCAACCAAACGCTCTTGGATATGCTTTTAATGGAAGTAATAAAATCTTTCATGGTTCGAAGTTTGTTTGTAATCCATGCTACGCTCTGTATTTGGCGGGCGGTAAAGGTGACTAGTGAAGAATTATTTTGGTTGTTTGCATTGCTGTATATGTTGTTTATCGTCGAAGGCATTTTCACATTTGTTGCCAAAAATGAAGGCACACTGTAAGTATCCCTTTGTTCAGTTTAGGTTAATCACATTAAAGATCCTAAAGCCAGACTCCAGATATGACGTTGTACAATCAAGACTATATTTTGATTGAATTATTTAAATAAATAAATAAATATAATAAATAAGGATATATAATTCCGACAGAATAATTGAAAATAATGAAACAACTTCAGTAGTAGACTTTAAGAACACTGATTTTTTATAAACTCGGATATTTCTGCCACTCCTGTGGCCTTCATCAGCGAGAATAAGGAAAACATTATGAATCAATATAATATAGGCTGTCTTATCAAAAAAGAATAATGGTGACAGAGAGCAAATGAGAAATACAATATAAAACTGTAAAATGATTGGTCTATTTATCTATGCATACTGAGTATCTACAATAATAAAGAACGAAGGGTGTTAATTGCAGAGACTAGTCAAATAAACTATCCATTGTATTGGCCAGCACTACACAGATAAGATGGTTATTTCAGAGAAATGGATCATATAGAGATTGTAACTGAGCCAACTGTATGAAGACCTAATAATATAACGTATGCTAGGCCTGTGAATATACCTAGAATAAATGAATGAAGCAATGCAGTAACATAATAATAATAATAATAATAATAATAATAATAATAATAATAATAATAGTAATAATAATAAGAATAATAATCGTAATGATGATAAAAATAATAGTAATAATAATAATCATAATAATAATAATAATATTAATATTAATATTAATAATAATAATAATACAAATAATAATAATAATAATAATAATAATAATAATGAATTTTGAATTTTGAAGAACAAAGTCATTAGAAACCTAGCTCAAAAGTCGAGAAAGGTCATTTCCCGCCATCTAGAAATCAAAATTTTCCCGGGGGAGGATCGTACCCCGGATCCCCTTACCTTTTTGGGAAAAATGTTGACCCCCCATCCCCTAGGTTTTTCCAGATATGCATGATTCATATTAATGGTAGCAATGGATGGCTTTAATTTGGAAAGGGTGGGGGTAGTTTGTTGAACTAACACGACCCGGTACCCCAGTCGGGGAAAAAATGAAATTTGTCGGATTTTTTTTTTTTTAAATTAAAATATACGGTAATACAATTTTCAATCTACTAAGCTTCCAATTTGTCTTTTTTTTAAACAAATAAACAACCCTTATTCACATCTGTCTGATAACAGCCTATTTGTTCACTTTTAAAATTCCATATCATTCAAAAAATCCCAAGACCTAATGAAAATTTAACAAAAAATCCAAAGATATTAAGGTGCTATATGTTGACCCCCATCCCCTAGGTTTTTCCAGATCTGCATGATTCATATTAATGGTAGCAATGGATGGCTTTAATTTGGAAAGGGTGGGGGTAGTTTGTTGAACTAACACGACCCGCTACCACAGTCGGGGGAAAAAATAAAATTTGTCTGATTTTTTTTTTAAATTAAAATGTACGGTAATACAATTTTCAATCTACTAAGCTTCCAATTTGTCTTATTTTTAACAAATAAACAACCCTTATTCACATCTGTCTGATAGCAGCCTATTTGTTCCATATCATTAAAAAAATCCCAAGATCTAATGAAAATTTAACAAAAAATCCAAAGATACCAAGGTGCTATATCATTAAAAAAATCCCAAGATCTAATGAAAATTTAACAAAAAATCCAAAGATACCAAGGTGCCATTAAAAATCCCAAGATCTTGGGATAAATCCCAAGCAGTGGTCACATTGTCCATCGGTCTTTTGGGAAAAATGGCTTAAAATAACGAGCTTCTCATATATTGAAAGGCAAGTATTATAAAGGGGGCTATGCTTAGGAAGAAAATTACATTCAGCCTTAAGATGCGATATTTTGCTGACCTATCTTGAAATGGACGATTCTGTTGTCCTTTTCAGAGAGTGCTGTGCGCATCCGTATCTGCGACTACGTTGTTCGTTTCTGTGAGTAGTTTGTTCGTTTCTGTGAGTGTCTTTTGTTGTCTGATTTTGCTAATATGTTGTACGTTTCTGTGGAAGTCTAACTTTGTCCTTTACAGCGTGTACGTTGTAGGTTTCTGCGAGTAGGCTGTTCATTTCTGCGAGTAGGTTGTTCGTTTCTGCGAGTAGGTTGTTCGTTTCTGTGAGTCGGTTGTACGTTTTTGCGAGTAGGTTGTTCGTTTGAAACTGTATTTTTGGCGGCGATTGCCTTTCATAGTTCAGCGCTTTTATCATTTTTTTGGAAAAGCGCTTTGTAGATGATATCATTATTTATTTATTTATACATTATAACCATCATCAGTTCGTAGAACAACAAACGTAAACTAAAGAAACGAACAGAAAATACTGCTCTCAGCTTATTTTATTTGTAAGATTAATGTTTAATGCCTGATTGAGTATTTGTATTAGTATGGTGATTATGGTTAATATTACACGATACCTAACACTTCTTTTAAATGTTAGTTATTTCAAATTTAAACAAAACATGTCAAATGACATACAAGACAATCAACAAAAGTAGGCCTAATTGCTAAAATTCATTCTGAGTGATGACCTTATAGGACGCGTGTGTCCTATGGCCGACATGGTAGGCTTTGATAATCTTTTTTTTAAAGTGTCACAGTGATTTTCACTCCCCAGTATATGTTAACCCGGGTCAAAATTCGGCTTTCACTGGCCAGTCACTTAGCTTAGAATTTTTAAAAATGAGGAAAAACAAGAATGTTGAAATAAATTTGGGTATGACCCCCACCCCCTCACACACACACACACACACACACACCAAAAGGTGAAAAAAGTAATCCATTCATTTCCATGATGTTTGTAATCCTTTACATATCTACATTTATTACAGGTTTTCACCATGTGTTCTAATCTACATACTCACAGTTATTGCTTGTATTTGGGTCTTGGAATTCAACCTATATTTCCAGCGATTAGAGTACGCTGAAGAAAACGATATTGAGTGTGGAACGCTTGACATAACTTACCGCAACAGTTCAATTTCGTTGAAATATGTAAGAGTTTTTAACAGAAGTTGTATATTGGTAATGACGGGGCTGGCTATTAGAATTTGATAAGAATATAACAAATTGTTTGCGGTTTTAATAACAAAAACAATGTGATTTAGTAATAATGTTTATTTTGACCACCAATTCAAACCAGTTGAAATATGTAAGAGTTTTTAACAAAAGTTGTATATTGGTAATGACGGGGCTTGCTATTAGAATTTAATAAGAATAACAAATTGTTTGCGGTTTTAATAACAAAAACAATGTGATTAGTAATTGTGTTTATATTGAGCACCAATTCGGCTTTTAATCCACTTAAATTGACTATTTCATCTACCAGTCAGAATTATATCTGTATGTAATTGAGTACAAAAAAAATAACAATTTTCAAAGAGTAAATTCTGGTTTCTTTTTCTTTTAATTTCGATATTTAAATGAAATATTAATTTGAGTCACAAATTGATGCATAGGCCTATTTCACTTTATTAGTAAAAAGTTTTGTTTTTTGTTTAAACAGTATTTTGTTTTGTTGTTGTGGTGATTTGTCCACAAAAGAGAGAGAGAAAAAATATAAAGCTACTATTTTATATTGAAAAGAAATCCGGCTGGTATTTTTTTTAAAATAATATATCTGTAAATCAGCGAATCAATAATAATAATCATTCATATTTTTGTTGGGTTTTTTCAGTTGCTTTTGCCGACTGTATTTTTGGATGATCAAGAATGGTCAATGGCATTGCAGCAGGTCTTCGTATTCATTCTCATTATTGGAAGATGGCTTCTACCGAAAGGGCACATGACACGTGATCAGCTATCTGAACTTCTGTTCATCAATATCGGTATGGGTGCTGACATTCTGGAGTTTATTATCGAGGGAATGGAATTGAAAGCGGTTGGATGTTCCGACGATCTTATGGTAGTGATCCTAATCATATGGTCATGGAGTCTAATGCAGTTCACTATCAACTTAACAGTGAATTTAGAACAGGAGGATCGAGATCCCAGTACAGAAGATGCTGAAACCTCGTCTTGGTTAAACCAATGCTCGCATCATGTCTGTTGTAAAACTGGTATGTGGGCTACTATAGTAACAGTGATACTGCAAGATGGTCCTTTTTTTATCATAAGGGTTTATTTAATCTCTGAGTTCAATGCCGTGTCACTGGGAATGCTTTTTTTCACTGCCAAAAATGCACTGATTCTAGTATTGCAATTCTATCGGTTGAAACTTATTCTAAGTGAAAGAGCAAATGTCGCGAATGAGTCTCGATCGGACCCTGAATCTGATATAGGAAATTAAAGCTTTGTCTACACTATTAAATGTTATGTGACTGTGACAAAAAAAATGTGATGTGCCCATATATGGTATGATGACGTCATATCACATATCAAATTTTATCAAAAAAACTTGAACGTGTGACGCTTTTTTGATGAAATTTGATGGTGTAAACAAAGCTTGAAGCAATGATACTTCTAGCATTACATATGACTTGGGTTTCGAGAAATCAATGGGTTTTTGTTTTCTCATCTGATCTCTCGAATTCAAAAGCACAAACAGAATAAGCACGCTAGAAATTAATATTATTAAATTAGGCTGCAGCATATCTTTAACAATTTTGTCCTAGGTCCGTAATGTTCTTAATCAAATCCTTCAGTCCTATTTTGAACATATTTCTTCTTTAAAATCTTCCACTTCTTTCTATCTGATGTTTCCATTTCCTATTATTTCTATGTTCCCAGGTAATCTGTCCACCTTTGTTTCTGTCTTCCTACTTTCTTTTATTTTCTCTCTGCGTCCATCCAGTTTTCTGTTGTTTTACTACCTGCCCTCTGCATATTCACACTTTTTTGACACTACTTCCATTATTCTTTTTGTTTTGGTTCTCCGTCTTATTGTTGCTGATGTTTGTTTTTAACAAGATGCAGTGCTCACTTTGTATTAAAATAAGGTATTAGAT